CACGGGCCTCGGGTCCATTTTGATCAGGTGAAAACCATCTTTATGTTGCTAAGTTGTTGGTAAGGCCCACAAGGCTGTAACCCCCCATGTAGATGTCATGTGTGATTCATCTGTTTCCAGTGCTGATCAGAAATTCAGCTTTAAGGTATGTGTGCGATAAGCAGTCAGTAACAACGGCCGCAACCGCAACAGCAAAAATGATGGTCAGCCTCACTCAGGAACCCAGAAAACTGGTCTTCAAGAGCTATTTTCTTAAATTTCTCCAAGAACAAAACATATAGATAAAGCTTTCAAGGTCAGAGTGAAAAGAAAATTAGCCATTTACTTTGTGAACTTTAAATTTTAAATCAGTCATCCTGCTTGTGAAATACCAAGCTTTTATTCTCTGCAATAGAACCTTGAGCAAAAAATGGACGTCCTATTCTGGTGTAGGTACGGGAGAGGAGCGCCCGAATCCAAAGGCGCTGTGTTTCTGATTCCGAAGGCTCTCTCAGATACTTCAACTTGTGATGAGTACAAGCAACCAATCCAGAGTCTTTTCACGTCCACGTACAGGGAATGATTATCATAGGAGACGTTAGCAATTATTTTCCAGCGTGATGTAAGCTGAGGCAGCAGGGCCAAGCAAGCGTCCTTGTCAAACATATTCCAGCCTTCTGGATTACTTCACTCGCATCTCCCTGATTAGGATGCGCGCCGCATGCTGCTTAATACAATCTGCCATCGAATGCCAAGTACTTCAGAACTAAATTAGGAAATATGTCCAAATACATAGAATGACGCTAAGAGCCCTAAGTGGGTCTCTCTCTTTCCTTTATGAGGCATGAGGCTCATCATCAACATAATGCTCTTAAATGAGGCAATTCTATCTTCTAACCCTCTACCTCTGAGAGCAAAATTTAATTCAAGCAGCAAAAGAATTAATAAAGATAATATGGTATCATAAATACCATTCTCATGGAGGAAGTATTTTTGACAGAGTCAGGAAATGTGAGACATACAAATTTTAGAGGGATGTTAACAGAGGTGACACTGATTTTTACACGGCAGCATGATGGAGAGACCAGAGTAATCACAACCACATCTTTTTTCCTTCAGTCACTTGGCAATGGCTACCTTTCAGGTCATCGATGCCAATGAAGGTAAGACCCCAAGAAGGCGATATCAAAACTCTGGAACCCCTAAGTCTGGGGATCCTTGCACACAGGCAAACCAAGATGTACTGGGACACTACTCTCTCTCTCTCTGAACCCTCCTACCTGAGCCGGAAATAGCTGAACAACCAGCTGTGTTTACAAGCCTTTTCTTTTTAATTTTTTAAAAAGCTTATTTATTTATTTTGAGAGAGCACGTGAGTGGCAGAGGGGCAGAGAGAGAGAGAGAGAGAGAGAGAGAGAATCCCATGCAGCGGGGCTCAATCTTATGACTGAGATCACGACCTGAGCCGAAATTAAGAGTTGGACACTCAACCAACTGAGCCACCCAGAGGCTCCTACAAGCCTCTTCTTAAGACTAAATACACTTCTGCTATGTTCCGTGTTTCATTTCCTTAGGAGACTATGTGTAGTAAGATGGCTAGGTTCTTGACAAGTGCCAATTTGCTGAAGTCTATGCAGAATGCCGTTGTCAAGTTCCAATGCCAGGAACACAACTGGTGTTCTGTAACTCTCTGTGCCGAACACACGTCCGGCTGGCTAGCTAGATGTGTGAATGGATGGATTTGAACCATTATTACTTGATGCTCAGACAGCTGTGGTGCCTATAAAATGCTAATGTGATCATCATACGGTGCAAGGATGTTCTCCTGCTAAACAAAAATAACGCCTCTGGAATACTTCTACAGGTTAGGGAAATTCTGGTTGCTGACTCAAATTCTGTGTCAGTATTTGGACTTCACTGTCCGCTTTGATCACAGTTAATCAATAACGGATTATAACTAAACCCCAGTTCTGTATCAGTAAAAACGAAGATAAACCAAACTCTCTGTTCTCATAAAGCTTTCATCTGAATCCTAAATATACAGGCCAGAGGCACAGACCCAAACCCCCCTGTGTATATAGCTCCAGGCAAACTCTACTGGTAATGGTCTCGCATCAACCTAATAAAATGTGCTGGGCCACATGCGGCCGGGCCACAGCACAGATGTAGCCAAAACATGGTACTCACAAGCACGGTGACACCGAGCAACGCACATGAGACTGTTTGGGAATTATGATATTACGATATAGGATAGCAGGAGGACACTAAAATCTCACAGCGTCACCCATAACATGGCTTAATTCACACAGGGATATCACATGACAATTTCAATTCCTAAAAATGCAGGTTTTTCTCAGGAAGCAGACAATCCATTAAACGCAATCAGACGGAAAGTGCTGCCTCCTCAAAAATGAGGGAAGTTTCATAGGGAAAGCCTGGCTTCCCTCACGTTCCCGTGGGCGGCACTCATGTCGGAGAAACAGCTCCATGCAAAGTTATTACCAAACTACGAACAACAACCGACTCTCCACCCACACAAGTGATGGAGGGTTTGAAGCCGCACTCACAAAATATTTAGATGACTAAATGCTACCGTCAGATTTTGAAGAGGTTGTTAAACACGCTCTTGTAGCAAATTTATTTCCACTCTTCATTTTATTTTTTTATTTAAAAAAAAATTTTTTTTTTCAACGTTTATTTTTATTTTTGGGACAGAGAGAGACAGAGCATGAACGGGCGAGGGGCAGAGAGAGAGGGAGACACAGAATCGGAAACAGGCTCCAGGCTCTGAGCCATCAGCCCAGAGCCCGACGCGGGGCTCGAACTCACGGACCGTGAGATCGTGACCTGGTTGAAGTCAGACGCTTAACCGACTGCGCCACCCAGGCGCCCCTCCACTCTTCATTTTAAAACCCCGATGAAAAATACCGGGTAATCACTTATTTGAGGGACTAGAAACTTTTAAAAATGGATTTTCATAAAATCAATAGATTAATCAGCTGATTCTTATAATCAATGCTTTTAACTGGGTTGAAAAACCCAAAAGGCATCCCAAACAGCACTTTCTTACATCGATGTTGAAAGGATGCTCCCGGTCTAAATTTGAGCTCAACACTCTGCCCCTTTGCTGGTTTCTCAAATATATCCACTCACGTAAGTCAAAGAGAAAGAGGGCCTGTTTATGAAAAATTTATTAAAGTATGACAAATTTAAACCAGGCTAGTGCTAAATATAACTATCATCTCACTACGCCGAGAACTTGAGAAATAAATGAGAACCAAAGCCTGAAAGTATGATGGATGAAAAGTCAGAAAGCAAACAGTCTCTCTTCTCTCAACAAATGAGCTCAGTGGGGACCAGAAAAGAAGGTGTTCTCAAAGCCGGAGAAAGGAAACTGCCTTAGGACACCAACTGTGGTCCCCTCCCCCACTTCCTGGGAAGGCACAGCACAATTCTATCATCGTCTATCTCGCCAGCTAAGCTGTGAATGTGCTCCAACAAAACAGGCCAACTTGAGCACAAAGGGAGTCCGTTGTCACAGTGAGGTTACAATAAGCCACACATATTTTCTGCCACTTTATTGCCTCTTCCTGAACGAAGAAGAGGTCCGTGGAATCCAGGATGCTTCAATTCTTTGAGCACTTACTAAGTTGCAAAACCAGTGAACATCTAAATGAATGAGATCTGACCTTACAGGGGGCTACACAAAGGGGAAACAGTATGTAAAAACCACAACCAGAGGCCAGACTTAAACTATGAGGGGAGGAAATAAAAGCGCCGTGATGGTAATGCTCGCTCGCCAGGCACCACGCTTAAAGCTTCACAGACAGGTTTTCATTTAACCCTACAATTTTACCAAGTAGCCACTGTTCTGAACTCCCTGGGGCATGAAGAGGGTTAAGCCACCTGCTTAAGGTCACACAGGGCGGTAGGTTACTACCGAGCTGGTACTGAAACTCAGGCTGTGTGCATCCAGAGTCGGCTCCTCCAGCTCCTGTGCTGCACTGTGGAGAAGGGCTTCCTTCCCGAAGGAGGAAGGTGCTGTCAGAGGAGCCGCTGGCTCAGGGAAGTTCCTTCCCAGGGACTGTACCCGTAGGCAGCAGGGTCAAGAGCAGGAAAATTGGAGAAAAACAAAGCAAAACAAAATAAAAAAACTGAATCCCTTTCTCCCGATTCCACTGGAAGAGAGAGAGTTCTATAAATCAAGTTTAAGACTAACTACTTGGCTTACAGTCAGGCTAGTAAAATGCTAGGTAGTGATAAAATTTAGTCATCATGCAAAGAATTTCAATTACAAACTTGTCTCCTTAATTCTGGCTCAAGGATGATCAGAAGGCACTTTTATGCACTACTGGTGAGAATGCGAGTCTTGCTGCAACCCTTACCACCATCCCGAGTGTATACCTTCTGCCCAGGCAACACAACCGCTGGGAATCTATCCCAGAGATCGACCACACAAGGACTCGCAAGAGTTGCAATATGCATCGTAGCACTGCCTGTAATCGCTGAGACAGTGAAAGTGACCTAAATGCCCACCAGCGAGGGGGCTAGATACACAGACCATGGGTTGTAAGCCTACGCCAGAATCCTAGCGAGACGGAGCATGGTACGTGGTGACGTGGAATGCCCTCCAAGGCTTATTACTGAATAAAAATGTTGGGTACAGAACAGAATCGCATTTCCACAAATACGGTTTTTGGTGCATAAATGTACTTCTAAACACATTAAATTTTTCTTGATACCTAAAAAATGCTTAGTTTCTTCTGTGGAATGGGGCTGGGGGAAGGGAGGAGAAAGGAGACAATTACTTTCCATTTTACATCCTTTAGAAGAGCTTCAGGGTCTGTTTTTTTTTGTTTTTTTGTTTTGTTTTGTTTTGTTTTTTTACCATGCTAAATGTATATGGTCTGAATACATCTTAAAAATATAGAATATCAGAGAGCCTTAATTTTTTAACTGCCTTCTAAAAAATAAAAATCGACGTTCTTTTTTGTTGATTATACACCCTACTATTTCTGTACCTTGTTTCCTTCGTATACCCATCCCAGACTCTTCACACCAAAAGCAGCCTGGTTGGCTGAGACATCCAGACACGTGACCGGCTGGCCATAGACGTAATGGAGGGTTCTAGCAGAGTCTTCGGCTTTCAGCAGGTACACCAGATCTCCAGCTGTGGCCACTGCCACAGGATACCTTCCGGTATCTGGAACGATTTCAAGGTAGTCAACCTGTGAACGGGGAAGAGTTACACAGTCTGTCAGGTCTCACCTCCAGCTCATCCTTACTTGGTCAAAAAACACACGATGCCTCCCAGAGGTCACTAAGACCAGCGACCTAACAGAAAAAGATGGGCAAAGAAACAGCTCATAGGAAAGGAGAACACAGTTCCTACACTAATAAAGAGATGCTCTTTGTAAAAGAAACACAGTATGTTCCTAATAAGAGAAAGACGAAGTAAAAATTCACCGAGATACCGTTTTTACCAGTCATAGCAGTAAAATCCATTAGCTTGATAGGACAACGGTCTGGAAGTAGAGGGGAGACAACCATATTTGTGGATCCCACTTACGGTTGGTGGGATGTAATCGAGTCCAACTTCTCTAGAGGGAAATCTGACAATACTTAGCACGATGTCAAACGCACATACGCACTGAACCAGCAAGTCAGTCCTAGGAATTTACTTACAAATAAACACACACGCACACACGCACACGCACTGCATACAAGGTTACCTGCTGTCGCACGATGCTGTCATAGCTAAAAACTGGAAACACCTACTACACACGCCTTACTAAGGGGCTAATTAACAGGAATACCATGTAGTCTCAGAAAAAAGCATGATACAAAATGGAATCATCTCCAAGATAAATTTGGGGACAAAAAGCAAGGAAGGGGAGTAGCAGGATTCACAGTGCACTAACGTGCGTGGAGGGGGGCAGGGGGAACACGGTGTGCGTGGCTTGTGCAAGCATAAATCTGCTAAGGATGGCTGCCTGCAAAGAGGGAACAGAGTTCTTTGATGGGGTGGAAGAGAGATTTCTCCCATAAACCTTACTGCCTTTTAAATTCTGAAACATGAGAGTATAAGAACTATTCAAAATATTAAGTTTCCTTGTTTTCTTTTTTTTACAAGAAACTGAATCAAATCCCCTCGGTTCCCCAATCAGCAAAATTCACATTTTAGCATTTGTGCAGGTACCAGAAATGTGCAGCTAAAAGGCTATAAAGAGCGGCGTTATCCATCCTCTGCTGTTTCTAGGTCATCGAGCGTATGATACCACCGCCACGGTACTCCTGACCGCACTAGCGCGACCGCTGCCTCTGATCTGCACGGCAACGAGGCGCTCCCTTCAGGCATCACTTGCTTTTCTACTTCCCTAAGTGGCACATTTCTCCCGAGCACATTTCACACCAGGTTTTCACCTCCTTGAGTAAAATCTCAGCGTACAAAAGCAGGTGTGCCAAACTGTGTAATCGTGAAAACCACCGCGTGAAAGGACAGCGTGGCCCTGACAAGAAGCCAAACGAGTTCAAAAGCCTGAATCCTAAGGACTGTCCAGAGGAGCTGGAGGGACAGTATACATCCGGGGGCCTCTGCTGTTAATCCTCGGGCCCAAGAGTGTGAGTGTGAGTGGTGCCCCACCCCCAACCTGCCCAGCTGAGGACTCATCACAAAGGAAGGGCGGAAGGGCTAGGCCAGTGCTGCAACCCAGGGAAGATGGCCATTGGGATTCGGGGAGCCCACCTGGGAAGACAAAAGTGGCTCTGATGGGCTGGGGGAACCTTTTTCAGGGAGGCACGGCAGCCCCTCATCCGAGATGAGAAATGAGGCCTATGCTGCCAAGCAGTTGTGGCTTGCTTCCTCTCCCCCCAATTCTAAAAGTCATTTCTTATTTCCCTAAAATTAACATCCTCAGCCTAGCTGTTTAGTTTCACTTTATTGTTGGACTTCTGACAGACCAAGAGGCTCAGACTGAGTGTGGTGGTGCCATTTGCCAGAAGCTGTAAACTCCTTCAAAAAGCTTCCAGTGGGTGCCAGGATGCCACTTTATTGCCAAGGCAGGATTTACCCTTTACGGAGGAACTCACATCTTAAGTAACTGTCTGCATTCGTATAATTATTGCTGGTCTAGAATGTTCTTTTGGCAGACACCAAATAATAAGCACTACGGTAGTTCTGAGAACAAAGAAAGATGGTACTTCACATTTTTCTAGTAAAACCCCCGAGAGGAGCATCAGACGGTTTGGGGGGAACACCACCCACAGGGCAGAAACTGGTCATTAAAGGGACAAGAAGCTTATGCAGGCGAAGTGCTGACATCATGGCTTTTTAGTTACTCAAGGCTAACAAGATCTCCACCAGGGGGAAAAGGCAGAAAAACAGGATCTGTTCCGGATCAGACCACCAATTCGTTATTCAACACTGGCTTTTCTGCTCACTCTACTAATGCCAAAATCGAGTTTGTTTACATTAAATCCAAATTTAGCGCAGATTTGAGCACTTCCTTCTTACCGCGGAATCACCTCCCACCATATAAAAGTGGAGGCTCACGTGTAACTGAGTATGGAGATAAGCTCGACATAAAGAACGCTTCAGGTTGGCTGAGCTTCACGCGTGACATCCTGGAACTCGGCTGCCCAATTAACACTGACTTAAACTTGCTTTCACTCAGGAGTTACTCTTAATTCCAGGTGAGAAAATCTGAGGCGGAAGAAAGTGTAGGACGGAAATCTTCCCTCCCATATGGACTGGGAAGGTACCACTGAATTCATTTTCATCATTTTCACTGACAGGATGGGCCAGAAACCGAGCTCCCATTTCCAGAGGCGAACATCCCATTTTAGGTGAAGGAGGCTGAGGACCACAGTGACGAGAAACCCCTGGCCTGGAGCTCAGCCCCGAGATCTGCATCTCAGCTCCTTAGCTCTGAGATCCGGGGCAAGCCGATACACTGCTCTCAGCCTCTATGGGCTTTTTGGTAAATGGGGAAAAAGAATACTATCTACCTATTTTGCAAGGCTGCAGTGAGATTTAGAAATGTAAGGCCCCCAGGAAGCCCCGAGGGAATGGGAGCTGCCAACGTCATTACTATCTGTTTGATCGGACCCAGAGGTTCTAAGAATGGAGAATCAAATGACTGGACTAAAAAGCTCACCAGTTTCTGAACTTCGAACTCTGCCGCGATTTGCCAGTAGCCCTCGTCGTTGGGGCGCAACATTACAACATCAAAAGCGGAAGCTGTGGCAACCGTTGCACCTTCCTGGCTGAGGGCTAGTGCCTGTATTCTTGCGTCATGCTCAAAACGATGGATGGGATACTTTCCGGTCCTTAGATCCCAGATATTAAGAAACCCTACGTAGAGAAAAACAGCGCAGGTAACTTTAGATTCGCTTAAAACGCACACTTATAAAGTAATCATGCAATATAAAGAAAGTTAAAAGGTAAATGACAAATTTGCATCACATACAACACAGGGCCGATTTCCTTAACAATGAGCTTCTAAGGTCCAATCAGGAAAAAAAAAAGCAACTGGAAAGTGAGCAAAGGACAAGAGCATGCTGGTCACAGTAAAAGAAATACAACTGGGGGCGCCTGGGTGGCTCGGTTGGTTAAGCGTCCGACCTCGGGTCAGGTCATGATCTCGCGGTCCGTGGGTTCTAGCCCCGCGTCGGGCTCTGTGCTGACCGCTCAGAGCCTGGAGCCTTTTTCGGATTCTGTGTCTCCCTCTCTCTCTGCCCCTTTCCCGTTCATGCTCTGTGTCTCTCTGTCTCAAAAATAAATAAATGTTAAAAAAAAAAATTAAAAAAAAAAAAAGAAATACAACTGATGTACAAACATAAGAAAAATGCAAAAATTCACTCACAATTAGAAAAATACAAAAACGGGGGCACCCGGGTGGCTCAGTCGGCTGAGCATCTGACTTCAACTCAGGTTCATGCATTCCAGCCCTGCATCGGGCTCTGTGCTGACAGCTCAGAGCCTGGAGCCTGCTTCGGATTCTGTGTCCCTCTCTTGCTCTGCCCCCCCCCCCGCCCCCCCTCCCCCGTTCACAGGCAAGTGCATGCGCTAAGAAAAAAATAAAACACTAAAAAAAAGAAAAACACAAAAACAGTAACAGAATATTATTTTTCATCCATCAAATTGACAAAGATGAAAAATTTCATAAAACATTTTGTTGTTAAGGCTATAGGGAAATAGGCTCTATTTTTTTAAATGCTTATTTATTTTGAGGGGGGAGAGCGGCAGAGAGAGCGGGGGGGGGGGTGGTGGAGAGAGAGAGAATCCCAAGCAGGCCCCACGCTGTCAGTGCAGAGCCCGACCTGGGGCTCGATCTCACAACCAAACCATGAGATCATAACCTGAGCCAAAACTGACTGAGTCAGATGCTTCACTGACAAAGCCACCCAGGCACCCTAGGCTCTATCTTAAATTGTTGGTGGAGATATAAACTAATTCACCCAACTTGGGAGGCAATTTGATGATACGTACCAAATTACGAATATCTATAGGATAGTCACTGAAATGTTTTTCATTATGTCAAAAGATTAGAAGCTATCTAAATGTGCACCACAGTTTGAAATTTAAATAAAATGAGGAGTTAAAAAGACTGTGTCAGACTTATACATAAACTATCTGAAAGATCAACAAAATATATTATTAAATGAAAAAAGTGAAGGACAGAGTAGTGGTACAGCAGGTTATACTACTTTCGTGTTTTAAAAAATTTACACACACACACACAAACGTATACACAGACTATCCTCGTGTATGGAAGGATACACAAGAAACTGTTACCAGTGCTTGGCATTGAAGGAAAGAAACCAAAGAGAAGGGACAAGAGTAGGAGGGCATTTTACTATATATCCACTTGTATATTCTGAAGATTTTCCCTAAAATTATTTTTACTAAAAAGATAAATTTTATAAAATGTTTTTATGAGACAAACTTAACAATAGCAGGACACACATCAATTGCTGAATACTTTGCACATATGGCACTCCTAATTCATTCTCTTAATTGTCCATTCATGCAACAAATAATTTTTCCCAGTTTTATTGATTATAGTTGACATATAAGTTGTACGACACAACAATCTGATATATGCATACACTGTAAAATGATTACCATAGTACATTATTAGTTAATACCCATCACCTCACACAGTTAACAAATTTCTTTTTCCTTAGAATGAGAACTTTTAAAATCTACTCTCTTAGCAACTTTCAAATATACAGTACGGTATTAACTGTGGTCGTCGTGTTGTAGGTTAGATCCCTAGAACTTATCTTCTAACTGGAAGTTTGGACACCTTTTGACCACCTTTACTGACTTTTCCCACACCTCCGTCCCCAGGAATCACAAATCTGCTGTTTCTGAGGGTTTTGTTTGTTTGTTTTTAGATTCCGCACATAAGTGAGATCACACAGTATGTGTTTTTCCTCGGACTTATTTCACTTAGCATAACGCCCTCAAGGTTCACCCATGTTGTTGCCAATAGCGGAATTTTCATGGCTGAATAGTATTCCGTTGGACACGTATACCACAATTTCTTTATCTGTTCGACTGTCAATGGACACTCAGGCTGTTTCCACGTCTTGGCTGTCATGAATAATGCCAATGCTGCGGTGCACGTGGGGTGCGGACGGTTCTTCGGGACGGTGACTTCATCTCCTCTGGACATATACCCAGAAGTGGAATTGCTGGACCATATGAAATCTAGAGTTCTAGATTTCATTTTTTGGGGAACCTCCATACCGTTTTCCAGTGGTTGCATAAATTTACATTCCCACCGACAATGCACAAGGGCGCCTTTCTCTCCACATCCTCACCAGCATCTGTCATCCCTGGTCTTTGACGACAGCCATTCTAGCAAGCGTGAGCTATCAGGCAGAAAATTACTGAGCATGTTATATACGGGGCACTGTTCTAGATGCCAGCAAGATCTGAAAACAGCCACTAACTTGTATTTTACATCCTTCCTCACACCACCCTCTTCCAGCCGCAGTGAGCACTGATGCTTTACTTTCCATCATTATCAAACGTGAGCTTAACTATCCTACACTTGCTAAAAACCTTGATCTACCTACACACCCTTCTCTCTCCAGCCCCCCCCCGGATGCTGCTACCCAGGTGAATTCCTCTTACACACACTGGCTGTGTGTCTCCACCTTTCTCAAATGGTCTACAGCATGATATCCAAGTTTTCCAAGTGGTCTTCAGACCAGAAGCCCCAGCAGCTGCAGCATCACCTGGGGGCTTGTTAGAAATGCAGATTTGGGGGCAACAGAAACTTGGGATATACGCTCAAGTCTGAGAACCAGTCTGTCTACAGGAACTTACACTCTTCTATCAGAAACAGAAACTTTTCTGTACCTGGGATGACTTTCTTCTTACCCAAATTCTTTTTATCATTCCCACCCACTTCTTTCCCTGCCAATATGTACCCAAGAAAATAATTACTGTCTGCATCATACTGGATAACGTCCTGCTCCAATTGCCACTGATTTTATTTTTCAAAGTTCCCTGAGAAATGATTGCACAGAAATAACAGTCTGTGGTTATTTGAGTTCAAATCCAGCTCTACCACTTGCTAGCAGAAGGTCTTGGGCAAGTTACTTTACGCTGTGGGCCTGTCTCTTCATCTACAAAACGGAAGATAACATTACCTACTGCACAGGACTGTTGGACAGACGAAAGGGGAAAAGCCACACAAAAGGCTGGAAATAGGCCAATCATTTTTACCTTTCCTGTGTTCTAGAAGGCCTGCCATGTTGTAAAGCATGTTTACAATCTACTAATAGTGCAAATTCCCTCTGTTGCTCCTCCAAAAATCTAATCCTACTTCCTACAACTTCCTGTTACCCAAAACAGATAAAGCTCTTTCACGTTTCTTCTCTCGGCAATCCAAGTGCTTTGAACTTAGGATCTTACCATAAAGCATCATTCAGTACTAAAAAATACAGTCAGAAGAAAGTAATGCATGTAGGCTGCTTTGCAAGACTTTGAAACCGCCAGCAGGCTAGGTAGGTGATGACAAACAGACGCGGAGCTTTCGTCAAGTTAAATGTCGCTTCAGACGTAAAACAGCGTTCTTTTCTAAGAATTAACGATAAACCAAGGGGATCCGCGGGTCACACACGGCTCCACGACACATTCCCCTGGCAAATCTTTTGGCAAGTCCTCCCCACTCTCAGAAGAAACAGAGATGCTGCAGAAAACGCTGAATACACATTCAATAGGAGACAGGCATACTCCAAGATGTGCCTCCTCCAAGCACTTCTGCGTTATGTGTGTTTGCCTTTGTTCAGAGACGTCACAATAAACAGTCACGAGAGAAACAAAATTTGCAATTTTCACAGAGCTTTTGAGAGTGAGACATTTTCATTTGTCTCCTCTCATTGAGTGCTCACTTCCATTTTGGGAGGAACATCATTATCCTCATTTACAAAAGAGAACAGAAGCTCCGAGTGGTTAAACAACTGGTCCAAAGCCACTTGGTATGTGATGAGGCTGGGCTGGAATTATGCTGGGAAAGTGCGGGATGTGCGGCTGCCTCTCCAAGTGCATAAAATAACCATGAGCTCCACGAGCAAATGACGTAAACTTGCCTGGATTCTGCCAAATGTGGAAGTTACTCAACCACGGCTCACTCTAAGCACACATGGAGTTTATCTATAAACACATTTTTCATTATTAATCAACTACTCGGTTTTGTCGGCATCACTATTCCAACAGAATCTTGTGCAATAAAATATCCTTTGCTGCAAGGTTGAGCTTCACAGAGCCATCCTAAGAAAGGTCTTTTTGGAAAATATATTCTAGGATTCCCTCAATTTAATGGCCACATTCTTTTCTGGACTCCCACAGCGTCGTCATCTTTATCAACTCTCTCTACTCCCTTCAACCACTAAGCATATAAAACCTTGTCAGCCCCTTCCTTGTCGACAGCACAGTCCTCCAAGACCACTTTTACACGTGTGAACATTTAAAACTGTCATGTCCTCTGAACGAACTGACCCTTCGTTGTGTGAAATGTCCCTCTTTACCCCTGGTTGTGTTCTTTGCTCTGAGATCTTCTTTGTCTGCTATGGATATAGGCATTCCAGCTTTCTCCTGATTAGTGTTAGCACTGTATATATTTTTCTGTCCTTTCTCTTTGCCTTGTGTCTTCACATTTGAAACGAGTTTCTTGTCGACAGCATATATACTTGGTCTTGTTTTTAACTGGAGTGTGTAGACTATTTCCTTTAATGTGGTTATGGGCAGGAATGGGTTTTTCCTACCATGTTGCTATTTGTCCCATTTGTTCTGTGTTCCCTTTTTCTCTTTTTCTGCCTGCTTTTAGATGGAGT